TTACGTATTTAATTAAAACTACAGTAAAAACAGTAAAATTGTGAAATATTGTTACAATTAAATTTTTTTTTAATGTACTGTATTACATATAAAAATGTATTTTTTTCCTGTGGTGACAAAGCTGAATTTTGAGCAGCCATTATTTTAGTCTTCAGTGTCACATGATCCCTCATTATCATTCTATTATGCTGATTTGACACTCAAGAAACATTTTTATTATTATCAATGTTGAAAACAGAAAACTGCTCAAAATTTTTATGGAAGCGTTAATATGTTTTTTCAGAATTCCTGGATGAACAGAAAGCAATTATTTGAAATAGAAATCTTTTGTAATATTATAAATGTCCTTACTGTCACTTTTGATCAATTTAAAATAAAAGTATTAATTTCTTTAAAAATAAATATATTACTGACCCCAAATGTACATATATGACTAAAGGACCTTTTGGCCTTTACTTTTGTGCAAGTCACAAGCAAGAGAAAACAAGTTTACATACGCAAATACATGCACATGCTCACAATAAATGGATAAATACCTTTCTTTCCATCTCCAGATGTGAACTCGTTCTTGAAACACTCCTGGAAAAGACAGATCTACATCAAGACTCAATAATACTCAGAAATGAGCACTAGAGGGCAGAAGAAAACACTTATCTGAACCTCCAGTGCTTTCATAACTCACGCACATGGGCACTGCATAACAGACTATCGAAATAACTCCAATTTAAGCCAGTTTAAAGATAATTGGTTTATTATTATTTTTACCTTAGTTGTGGTTGTGATATTATCACAGTATAAACAGTGCATAGTTGGGGCAAGCAGGACATTTCCTGAGAATCTCTGTGTATGTTTTAGACTCAAGAGCATCTATTGGATAATTTATGTGATTTTTAAGAATGTTGAAATCATTTTTTTGGCACACTTATTGGACAACAGGTGGCACATACTGTTCCCACACGGTTGATGGCACAGGTGAAGCAGTGGTTTGCGATGGCAGCATTTCTGGCCTCAATTGGCCACATTGGTTCACTGTAACACAAAACCAGCATCAGCATGATGGAATACGGGCTCTGCGTTATTCCCATAAAACAGGTGTACAACACGATACCTGAGCAATCCAACTGTGGCCGAAGGGTTAAAGATGATCTCAGCCCCATGTACGCTGTACATTAACCAGTTGAGAGGATGGTGTCGGCCATAGCAGATGTTAACAGCAATCTTTCCAAACTGTGTCTGGAATACAAGGTGGCCGGTGTTCCCTTCCATGTAATATGTTGACTGGAGAAGGATGTAGCTCCATTTTTAATCAAGTTTGAGTTCAATTCGATTTTAGCTTTTCAAACCAAAACTATGAGAGTTTAAAGTAAAAATTTTACCCAAAAATGGCCATTCAAGATGTAGATGAGTTTATTTCTTCATAGGAACAGATTTGGAGAAACTTAGCATTACATCACTTTCTTACCAATGGATCCTCTGCAGTGAATGGGTGCGGTCAGAATGAGAGTCCAAACTACTGATAAGAACATAACAATAATACACTAACGATCCACATGACTCACGTCCATCAATTAACGTCTTATGAAGAGAAAAGTTGCATATTCATAAGAAACAAATCCATCATTGAGGCATTTTCATTTTAAAACATCTCGTATTTTGGCCAGGAGCAACGTTTTTAAGTTAAAAACATCTCGGATGGATTTGTTTTTTAAAACATGCAGCCAGTTTGGACTCTCATTCTGA